GTAGATACTATCACCTAAATCAAAGCATTTTTTAAAAGTTTCTTAATACTCTATAATTATATTTAAAAATCAAGGTAAAATATAATAAATATATTCTTCACTACTAGAATTAAGTAGAATTCTAATCTCTGTTAGTCAAATAATAATAATAATAATAGTAAAAATAATAACAATAATTTAAATTAAAAAATATTAAACTTCAGATCTAACTCAAACTTTTATAATGAACTAATTGTAAATTTTTCATCACTAGTTACAAACAAATTTATTAATAGCTGTTATAATTTTATTTTATATTACAAAAATTTAATAATTAATTTTAATAATCTTATTAGTAATCCTGAGTAAGTATTCATAACTACTCGATACTATCTCAAATATATAATAATTTTAATATTTATTTTTCTTACTATTAAAATAGTTTATATAAGCAAGCTAACATTAGACTTATTAACTTAGTTGGTTATATAAGAGATATTATTACTTTTTTTATATATAAATTTCAAACAATTTATAATTAATCTAAAAAAAAAAGTTTTTTTTTTTTAAATAAAATCCTTTTTATATAAAAATTTTTATATAATCTTTAAGTATTTTTTTAATTAATTTTATATATTTATATTATTAAGTAATTGTATTTTTGAATAATTAAAATATGTTTTATTAGAAAATAAAGTTTTTTTTCAATTATTATTAAAATGTTTTTTTATTTAAGTTATATAAAATTTTTTTTAAACAATAGTAAGCATATGTATTTTTAAAAATAAGTTATTTTTATATTTTATTTTTATCAAATATCTTAAAATAGTTAAATATAATACTTTAATATTAATATTTGATAATTTAATTGTTAAAATTTTTATAAAAAGATTTGAATTATAATAAATATTAACCAATTATTTTTAATATATAAAAAATAATCTTTTTAAGATAATCTTTATCTGATTTTCTTAAATTATTACTTTTTTAAAGTTTAATTTTTTAAAATTATAATAAATTGTTAACATATTTATGTCAATTTTAAAGTATATTTTATTTGCAAAAGTAATTTTATTATTTCACAAATATAATATAGTTTGTTATTATATATAAATTTTTTAAAGATAATATTATAAGAGTTTGTTTATAAAAAAATAATAATAAATCAAAGTTTTAAAATATACTATATATATTTATTAGAATATATTGTTTATATATTTAAAATTTTATATAAATTTCTTTTATTTTAAAAAAGTTATTTATATTTATATTATATAATAAGATTTTCAAAAATTTTGCAATATACTATATATAATAAAGTTTGTTAAATCAATTTTAATTATAGATTTTTTATTAGAATTAAATCAAAAATCTTTTTTATATAATCTTTTTTGTTTTGATTTGTTTTTAACTTATGATTATTACAAAAACTAGAAATTTTATTTTTATATAGTCTAATTAAATTTGATTAAAATTTAGATATTTGAATATAATATATATAAAAAATAAATAATTTATATATAAAAAAGAATTTTTGTATTTTTTTTTTATAAATATTTGAATTAAGAACATATATTTGAAAATTTGAAAGCATTATTTATTATGTATTAATTTACAAATTATTTTTTTTATATATAATTCAATAAATTATTAATAAATAAAAAATCAAATATATATTAATATAAACATATCAAAAAAATTACTTAATAGATTTTTATTAATATATTATTAAAATTTATTGAAAAATATAAATTATATAAAAATTTTATTGAAAAATTAATTTTATAAAACAAATTAAAAAAAATTATTTTTATAAAATAAATTTATATAAATTTATTATATAAATAAATATTTGTTTATTCATTATAAAAAATATTTATCCAAAAACTTATACTCTACATTTAATCATTATGGACTCGAAATTGCAGTATGTAGCACGAGTATCCAATTTTATATTTTCTAGTCTCTTCTATGACCATAGGATGACATCATGCATGTTGACGGTTAAGATTTATAGCCACCTTGAAATCCTTTGCGATGATTACATATACAGTTATTCAATTCAGAATATTTCATAACTCTTTGACAGCAAAATAGCTTATAATATATCAGCAGCAATAGAACATGGTCAATTCACCGTTACCTACTGACCTTGCAGGTAAAATAAAGGTTTTTTTCCAGCCCTGTACTGCATTCTCCTTTATTATCGACTTCGTTCTAATAGCAGAACTTTAGGGGAGTGCAGAAAGGCAGCGAAGATTCTGAACAGTTTCATTGGTATGCGTTTCTTCTATGTTTTCTTACGTGATTATTAGAAAAACCAACCATTGATTTATTTATTTACTAAAATTAGACCCAATCGCAGCTGAAGTAAGGATTAAAAACAAATGTCGTTTAAAGGGTGATCCGAGCTGATGATGTACCACTTTTTATATAGGGAATAGATAAAGTTATCCCATCTAGTGTACTACGAAAAGCAAAAGGATTTGCGATATTTACGGTTATAAAAGCAGGATTTCTCTTTTCTGGAAGAGCAGGATCGGGTTTGGTTGTTGCAAGGTAACGGTTTCATGCGTTGTTATCGAGATATAGTCTTTGATTAACTTTTTCACATATCACTATATAAAAAAAAACCAATTGACCATTGCATTATAGGCTTGAAGATGGCTGTGAGTGAGATTCATGAGTTTCTTGGTTATTTTTTTAGTACTTCTATTGATAACCTGTAATTTAAATTAGCATGGTCAGCCCCATCTGCAATCGGTACCGGAGGTATGGTAAGTTACTCACAGATGCGTCATGTTTGGCTTTATCAATAGTTCCTAAATTTTGTTTCTTTAAATTAGGGTTTCGGCGGGCAAATTGGTGCCGAAGTAACGGATTTTGTAATTGTTCTTAACAGTAGAGATGCAGTTAAATCATTTAGTCATGGAGGAAATGTTACTCTGGGTGGAAATTTGTAAGTTTTAACTTCATCAATTGCAATTCCTTCGAAATATAATTTTTATTTAGATCATTTTTTTTCTCATATAGGTCAGGTATGCACAAAATTACTAATCTCATAAGGAGTTTATTAAGAATTCCTTTATTTTTATTTAGTTGCCGCTGGACCTATTGGCAGAAATGCAGAAGGAGCGGGTTCTGTGTCGCTTGGACATGTGGCTTCCATATTTTCTTATAGTAAGACGAGGGGTTTGTTTGTAGGTAATGTTTTTCTCAAGGTTATCTTATTCTATTGTTAGTTTATAATTTTTTGCTTAATTGAATTAATTTATAAATAGGTGTCTCGATCGAAGGTTCTGTTATTGTAGAACGAAAAGATGCAAATTCCAAGTTCTATCATCGTAAGGTTACTGCAAAAGAGCTTCTTTCGGGGAAAATAAGCCCTCCACCTCAGGCAGACGTTTTGTATCGGGCACTTAATTCCAAGGTTTCAGCCATAAGCGATAGCGTAAGCACAATGTATAGTCATGAAACGCATGAAAAAGAAGACACATCCGAAAATCCTGTTGGTACAAGAAGCTATCGTCACTCTATGCCGTCACATAAATTGACAGAAAATACGTCGGATAAACTCAGTTCTAGCAGTAATCACAAGTCATCGGTCCAAAGGGCATTATCTACGAACACAACTAGAAGCGATAAATCTTATAGACCTCCGATAGCCCCGAAACCGGCTTTACCATCACGTGAAAAGAAACCAACAATTGCTGTTGCTTTATATGACTTTTCAGGTGAACAAGATGGTGACCTTGGATTCAGTAAAGGAGACATCATCTACATTATTAAAAAAACGGAGTCTACTAACGATTGGTAATAAATTTATGCCGTTCCCCTCGTCTTACATTCATTTAACATTATAAGCTGACTATGATCGTTATTCATTGTTATCGTCGTAACAATAGGTGGACTGGTAAATGTAACGGAAATGAAGGAATTGTAAGTATTCTAGGACGCACTTTTTATTTTTTTTAATTATCAACTGATTCTTATTTATTTTTAAATATTTAAATTTCAGTTTCCTGCAAATTATGTGGAGTTGAAATAAAAAAAAATTTTTATAAAGTTTATGTTAAATAACAAGTGTTCTTTGTTTTAGGTTGTTCTTCCTTAATACTTTTATTTAATCTGAACTTTACTATACCGAACACCTTTTCTTACGTTTTTTTCCGGTAAACATTAAATTATTACGCACGCATATTTGAATATGTATTTCTATTTAAAGTCATTACTGATCAAGTTACAACGAATGTACTGTATATATATTGGAACTTTCAAATTATATAGTTGAAAATTTATCTCCAACTTATATCTTAAAAAGTCAGGTACACGTGAATTATTTGAAAGATGCAATATAAACTGACCAAAATTGGTCCACAATCAAATTTAATTAACATTATTGAAAAGAGTCTTTCCTACTTAAATAAATGGTCAATTATTATGCTAAGCGTATAGTGCTCGTATAAAATAAAATTATATAACTATTACTATCTTTCGAATCATTGTTGTCTTTAGATTCTTAATAAAATAAATTTATTTGTTAGAAAAACGTTGCATTTTTATTATAAATATATACCAAAGTAAATATATAACTCGTTATTTATACTATTAAGTTTTATTTTATTTAACTTGTTAAATGTTTAAATAACTTTGAATAAGATCTCGTATATCAATCTTTGTTAAATCTTTTATAGCTTAAAAATTTATTCAAAGCATTAAATGAAATAATAAAGATTAGTTGATTTATTATTTAAATTACTTTTTTATTTTTGTAATCAATTAATTAAAATAAAATAAAATATATTTTTATATAATTATTTGATAAAAATTTTTAAAATTAATCGATTTTAATTATATTATAAATTTAAATTATAACTGGAAGAAAAAACTCTTTGATTTATATTTGTATTTGATAAAAATTAATATAAAAAAAAAATACAAAAATTTTTTACAAAAAAAAGCAGTTAAAAATTATAAAATCTTTTTATTTTTAAATATCAAACAATTAAGTTTATATATATAATTTTTAATATCTTTAATATTATAAACAAGTATTTAAGCTGCTTGATGTTGTTTGACAAGATATATTGTTTTAAATTTTCTTTTCAATATTAGTTAAACAGTTATTATAAGTAAGCCAACATTTAATTTATTATACTAATATATAAGAGATATTGTTTTTTTACAATATATATCCTAATATATACAAATTAAATAAAGAAATTGTAACAATTCTGAATTATATACCATATAATCTAATCATTCTGATGACTCCAATTTTTCAAATTAGTTTGAGTATTCTAATTAACCATATGTAAATGACATAATATTAACTTCTAATGATATAATCATATATTTATTTATATATATTTTCTAATTTGAAATAATTATGAAACAATCATGAAATAATATTACTTTTTTTTTTTTTTTTTAAAGAGGTAAATTATGCAATGATATATATCTTTTATTGATACTAAGATCTAAGCTATACATCAAGTATTTTTTAAGTATAGAGTTATTTTTATACAATTTGTATATCATTTATGTCTTTTATATAACTAGAATTAACACTGCCTATTGATTATTACTAGTAATAGCTAACTTAATTTTACTTCTAATCCAGCTATACGAACTTATACTATGTAAGTGGACCTACATGCCAGATGGGACTATTTTTCAGGAGATGGGAAATCCTGCTATCAGTTTAAACCCACCTAAACCTGTTAGTCCATCTAAGTTATAGGGAGCGTGTATCTTTTAAGATTGATTAGAACAACTGGATAACCTATTCAATACTTTTCACTTGAGACCTCAGAGAAGATATTATACTTGTTGTTACCACCTGCAGCTTTCGTTTGTATGACAAATTATTCAATCTTCTTTTAAGCAAGCACCGGATTGGAATAACCTCAAACTAAAATATTCTTTGTGCTACAGAGTCTGCCATGCCAGGGGTTTGTGGGCTTTTTATAAGAGTTAGATCAAAAGCCTTTTCTCGTGCAACCTTTTCTGCTTCAACCTGTTTTTTAGCCCACAATTGTCAGAAAGATCAGAGATCCCATCTTCATACAGCCTAACTGAATTTGGTCAGGATCTGGATGTTTGGATACTCCATATGTAGGAAAACCAGTAAACCTGTATACAGATGAAATTTTTGCATTTGTCTCCTGTGGGTATTGAACTAAGAACATGTATTTGGAAACCTGGGAGCACTACCTACTATACTATGGACCCACAGATTTATTATATTTAGATAAACTTAGTCATATTTTATTATTTATGTGCTTACTTTATTTACTTTATTTGTTTTTTTATTTTTCTATTTCTATTTTCTCTTTTATATGTACTTTTTGTATTAATTAAAAATATATAAAAAGTATATACTTTTGATCTGAATAAAATTTAACTTTTTGTTTAAATTCAATAAACATCTTACTCTAAGTTCACTATCTAATTGAAATCACTTATAATTTTATAAGACTTTTACAAAAATGATGTTTACTTACAAAAAAATAAAAATAAAATAAATACTATAAATAAATATTTAATTATAATTATTTATAAAATATCAAAACAAATTCAAATTTTATTACTTTATATATTTTTACTATTGATTTTTTCAATATTAAAAACTACAAAAATTAAAATAATATTAATATTTTTCAAATAATAATTATAAAACTTAAAAAAAAATTTTTTTAAAAATTCTTTTTTACTTCTTTCTTCTACACTTGAAATTTTTTTTTTTTTAAAAATTTCTGAGTTGTTTATTTTTTTTTGTCTTTTCTTTTACCTTTTCTTTTCTTTTATTTTTTCAT